TTAGAGACCGATCACTTGAAACATTAAGTTTGCAATATTTTTTTAGAAACGAACTAAAATTTACATTTGCTAATTTTGAAAGCGGTATGTTTGCAGACACTAATGCGCGACACAAGTCTTCATTAAAAGTTTCTTGCTCATCTAATTTTTTTGAAGTAGATTGGAAACATTTAGCCATTGAAGTTTGATGTTTTCCTCCTATTTTTCCTTTTTTTGCAATGTGTGAAGCAGTTCGCACATGTTGGTCTATCTGAAATTTCTTCTCACATGCTATCTATAAATAAAAATAAAAACCTTTATTTTAACCCAACCTTTAAAATATAAAAATATACAAGGTGTTTTTGGTTAATCAAATAACTGGTTTGGAAAAAAAACACTCGCTAAGTGTTTTAAATGCAGTATTAATCCACAAATTAGTTTTTGTTACTAACCATTAGTACATAATATACCTTATTTTAAAATTCAACAAAAGTTTTTTTTGTTAATTCAATTACAATAAAAATAATTGTGTTTTAGAATAGCTGACTTCATAAAAAAAAGTAAAGGTGAAAAATTTTTCTAAATACACACCATTGTATTGTACCATGGACAATTTTTTCTCACTAAAGGAAGCTATTTTTCATTTAAAAACAACCTACGAGTACTAAATTTCAAGTAAATACGTTTATTGGTTTTAAAGTTATTGTTGTTATTAACTAAAAGAATTTAATTTTTTTTAATTTTAACACCCTGTATCTCGAAAAGTAAATAAGTTTGACCCCTCATTAACTAATCGTCTTGTTCAATTTTTCGAGAAGTATCTACAGTCAAACGTTGTAAGTGTCATTTGGAAACACCCTGTATATATGAAATATTAGATATTTAATAGAAAATATTAGATACTTACAATTTTGCCACTGACTGAACAGTAGATTTTTCCCATATCCACAGACAGCTCTTTATAAGGTTTAATCCAAGTTGAAGCACTGGTTGTTTTAGGCATTATAAAATCACAATCTTCCTTTTTGTTACGCACAACGAGTGTTTACGCTTTGAATATCAAAACAAAAATGATTTACAAATCTGAGCATCAAATTAGAAATGTTTAGGTACCTAATTCAATAAACTGGGAGATTTTGGAAAATCCCTAAATTAGGAACAAAACTATTAGCCGTTTACCTGCTGTTAAGATACAATAAATTGTAGATAGATTTGGGGATTAGATCATAAAATGCAAATGAGCGAACCCTTAGCGATTATCCAATAACTGAATGCCTCAGTGACCGAGACTTTCTAAGAATGTTAAGGGCTACTTAAATTGATCTTCTTTGAAATTGTAAATGTTTTGTACCTGTAGAGATTACGTACTTAGATCATTTCTTGATTAAAATGACTACAAAATTTTATACAAGAATTGAAATAAATTGGTATGTTTAAAAATTTTCAAATACAGTATAAAAATCTGAACTTTTATGCACTTTATGCAAATTTTTATACAAATATGCCAAAATATGAAATATTTGCATAAAATATGCACAATATGCAATATGCATATTTGCCGAAGTCTAGTAATAACCCAGGTATATTTTTGTTAATAAATGTTTCTTTAACGTTAAGTTTCCCAAAAAAAATCTTTATTTCGAAATTACAAGTTTACAATTTTGAAAAATACTACAGACTACTACATTTAATGATAAAAAGTTGACTATTGAAACATATTAATTACAATAATAATAAAAATATTGATTTCCTCCTTTTTATAATATCGGACGTCGGAATCTGCTGATTCTTAATAGTAGGGGAGCGCGTGGCTACATTTCTCATCCCTCCATTGGTTGGGACTTCGTCCTCGAAGTTTGGTTACTTCGGCTATCAGATCGTCCAATATCTGGATCTGGACAGGATGCAATTTTCTCCAAATTGGATTTTCGTTTTCTGTTAGCGGTTGTCACTTCTTAGCTTGCATTTAATAGTTCTTTTGGTATGACTTCATTGATTTCATTTAAGCTAAGTTTATCTAGATTTAATGCTTTCACGGGATTTAACTTGCTTTTTTTAGAGTTTTGTTTATCTGTGTCTATATTCCAAGTTTTTCTAAATTTATTTCTATTTTTATTGTTTTATCTCTAATTTGGCTCTAACTATTCGGTGATCGCTACTTACTTACGCCGTATTTATTACTGTTACGTCCTGCATGATATCTGCTTTCTTACACAGTATGTAATCTATTTCGTTCCGAGTTTTTCCGTCTGGGGATAGCCATGTCCACTTTCTTTGAGGTTTTTTCTTATAGAATGTGTTCATTGCATAGTATGGCTTGTAGGAAGTTAACCAAGATTTCTTCTCTCTCGCTTCTAACTGCAGAGCCGAATTGTCCTATATAGTTTTCGGTTTTTTCAAGTCGTTTTCCGATCTTAGCGTTGAAGTCTCCTATTATCATCGTATAAGTGATGTGGTAATTCGTGCTAGTTTCTGCAATTTTCTCATAAAATTCGTCTATCTCTTCATCGGGATGTGCTGCGGTTAGAGCGTATACCTGAATAATTTTCAGGGAGATGTTCTCGTTAACATTTAACCTAATCATTGCAATTCTTTCAGATGTTCCTATGAATTGCTCTACTTTTTGTGCATATTTCTTGGAAATTAGAAATCCTACGCCATATAGGCTTTGTTCTTCTCGCCCTTTGTAATATAATAAGTTACCGGACTCTAGTGTTATGCACTAAGACTGCATTTGTTGCATTATAGGCTATAATATATAATATAGTAATTTACGCTGGCAAAAATATTGATCAAAACCGAACCACCCCACCGGAAGAACCATGATCACGGATAATTAGAATACTATCCTCGCATTAGCAGAACAGTTGTTGAATAGACAAACGCATCTTGAATTGACACGTAAAGGAAAAAATGCAAAGGAATCCTGCGCTATATGACAAACAAAATGCTGAAGCTCAGAGAAAATCATAAGTGAATCACTACTATCCTGGAGATACAAGCGCTATGTCCTGATGTATCTACAAAGCACTCAGATTTTCAAATTGAAGTTTGAAATCGTCGTGGACAAACAAAAAAACGTGAAATAATACTTGCCTACAACCGAGAAAAAACTTCCGTTGATCAGTCCGATCGAATGAGATCATACCGATCACTAGTTAGAAAAACCTTACTTAATTTCGAAAATATGTTCAATATATGTATTATGCAATTCGACATTACGCATTGAGTGTTCCAAACATCCCTATAGAGTAGAGGATATCTTACTTTAGGATTTTTATTATTTTTTATAATTGTTCACCTTTTTAACATAATAAAAACTGCCATTTATGTGTATATATTGTTTTTACTCTTTTATTTTGATACTACTTTATTTGCTATTTCGTAGTCGTTAAATCAGTCAGCAAGAAGCGCACCGTTTCTTCCGAGCCTGACGGGATACCTTTTGACCTAGTTATCGTAGAATTGAATAAAAATTTCTCGGTCATATAGACCACGCTGGCTTGTGTGAAAGCTTCTTTCTCGATCTAATTGACCACTATTCCACGTAGTATCTGGTCGTGCGATGTGTCGTCAAAGGTAAGGATAAGATTAGATAAAAGGTAAGTTTAATTTTATTTTCATTAAAAAAGAACTCTTAATTAGCGTATCCTACAATAAGTTAATTTATTGTCGCAAAATCTTTAATTATTTGCCTTTCTTTTTGTCGAGAGTGTAAAATCTTCTAAAGAGTGTATTCGATTCGGAGTAAAAGCATACGCCCGACTACATTACTCCTTTTGTAAGTCGTGCACTCGGGTGAGTCTATGATGTCCTGCCCTGTCCTACCAACTAAAATCAGCCTTAGCTACACACGCACAGCTAGTCTTATTAGACCGTCCTATTTTTTTCCTTTAGCGTTTATGTCTGCTGTCGTTTCCTTTCTGTGATCTTTAGTTTTTATTATTCTAGTTATTGCCCCCAGGATTTCTTTATATTTAGTTTCTCCTGTTACCGCCACTTTGGATATGTTATTCGCCCTAACTTCTTCCGTATAGCTCCGCCCTCTTGTTTCGTTAACCCCGCACTTCTTGTTCATTCAGCCCTATGTTCGTTTTCCCACTCTTCTTGTCATTTCGTGTTGGTTACGCCTCTCTCGTCTGCTTTGTTGTTTTCACTCATGCCCTACTTGATTGTTCTTTCTGTCAGTAGTAGGTGAATAGATAGCATCCTTGCTATAACTTATAAGGCAACTGTTGAAGTTGTCTTATATGCACAGACGACTCTCAGTATTGTCTTTCTCCAGAATTCTGTATTTTTGTTTATGCCATACTGCTGCTGCGTATAGTATGGTGGAGTGGACTATCCCCTCTACCTGTCGATGGACGTCCTATGTTTGGCATGAACTTTGTTGGCGCTGCTGTTCTTTGGTCGGCTATTTTCACAGATTATGTGTTCACCGAAGTTCTGTTTGGTATCCAGTATTACTACCAGATATTTGACTTTTTTGGCATTGCCAATGAAATGACCATTTCAAATGGCTTGCCTAGTGTATTTAGCAAGCATGTTGGCCGAAAAACACCCGGTTCTTCCATTTGTTCCTCAGGTTTAGGGATGAGGATAAGGTTTGTCGTCTTCTAAGGAGTTCGTACATTATATTTTTCAGCCTTTCCCTTAATAATGGTTTTTATTATTTCCGGCGCAATTCTGTCAGGTCTGGGTGCATTTCCTACTTTCATTATCTCTTGCATTGTGAAGTCGTTTGTTGGTGCATCTGTAGGTATTATTTGGAAGGTTTCATCCGATTGTTGCAGGAACAGTGCTTCCGCTAGTTCTCTCCTGCGACTGTCCTCTATTTAAATGTATGTGTTTGGTTTGAGTTCACTTGCTACAATTTTATATGCGTATCTTTTGGTGCTTAACACACCCTCAAAATTTCAGATCGATCCATCAATTATTTTTGTCCAAACGTTCGAAAAGGATTAAAATCAAATACAAAGTAAAAAAAGAAGAACTTATGTCATAACTCATAACCTCTTTTCAGTGTTTAATGAATAACCTTAAAATTTTAAAATGTTTAAATTTTTAACAACATTACAGATATTTAAACGTACAATTTCTAAAGAAGTGACGACAAGATATGGGATATCAGCCAATATTTCGAATCATAGACTAATTAATCAAAATGTACGCCTACTCAGTAGTGATCAAAATAATAAAACCAGCAAATCCAATTTTAATACTATATATAAATTTCCTTTAATAAAATATTTTTCAGTTATCAATAGGGTAAAGTTTTACCAAACAGTTTTAACAGGAATTACGTTGCCTTCTTCCTTTGCTTTGAATTTATTGAACTTTATTAGTACAGAAACTTTGCAAGTAATTTCTATTATAGGTTTGTTCTGTGTAAATAAAAAAAAACGGCAATAAAAGTTCTTATTTTCAGGGCTTACTGGATGTATTTCGCTTTACGGAGCAGGCCAAATAACATCCAACTTTATAGGATTTATATATTATGATGAAGAACAAAATTTAGCCAAAGTGGCATATGTTGATTTTTGGGGCTGGAGAAAGGATATAGAAATGCCTGTATCAGATATTGTTCCAAGTGAAGAAATTCCGTTTTCTATTACTAATAAACTATATATGAAATTCAAACGATATTCTACACCAGATGTATTAAAATACAATTTGAGTTTAGGCATTATTTATGATAATGAACAAATAAAGAAAGTTCTATAATTTCTGTTTATCTATATTTTCCTACCGTTAACTATGTAGTATTGTGAAATAAGCACTTTTTACTGATGCAATAGTCCATTATGGTCCCCTTTCTGCATCAACCTCGTAACTAGAATAGCAAATTTTTCAGGAGCACAAAAAAACGTATAATGTTAGTGTCGTTAAAAATGTAATAATTTTAATAACTTGAAAGTAATACAGATGATTTAAATAACAATTACTTGGTGCATTTTTTCTATTGTACTAATATTTTTTTCCAGAATATAAACATTTTTGTTATTTGCGAAGTTGCCGTTCATAAATTTGTAGTTAATATGGTGCAGATACGAGTTTGCTATTTTAGGTCTCTAATAAAGTAGTCGGTTCAAGGAATAAGTAATGTAGAAGAAAACAAATCAAATCATTTTTAGGTATATTTATTCACAATTATTACAAAAGAATAAAGAATGATAATACACACTTATAAATTCAATAAATTGTTATAAAAGTTGTGTTAATCACTTAATAGAACTACCAGCTTTTTTAGGCCTTAACCCAACAAAATCTGATTCTATTTCTGAAACATCTAATTCTAGAGATTTTTTTTTTTTTCGTTCTCTTGTTGAGTGCATAGAATTGCACTCCTTTTGTATATGCCCAACTGTAAGGTATTTTTGATAAATTATTGCTTGATATTTATTGTAATGTATGAGACAAGTTAACATTGCGATTCTGTGCACTGAAACCATCAGTGAATAGTACAGTTGGAAGACTTAAATCTACATACATAGGTTTCCAAAAAATGTGAAACACAAAAGGCAAAAATATTTGAATCCATACCCCCTTTCCTCTCATGCCAGACATAGCAATGAACTTGATAATTTTTCAAATTGTAAACTGATGCACAGCCAATTTTTGTTTAAAGTAGTGTGCACTTACAGCTATATCAGGTAGGTACCAGTTGTACTGCCTGGATGTCCAAATTATTTTCTTTTCTGGTCCTGTCGTTTTCATTTATGTGAGAATCATATATATTTTGTTCAATGTTACCATTTTTGAAACTAAAACATAGATCACACTAACCCTCTTTAGGCTTATATAGACCTATAATTAATGAGCAGACCATTTTTAGAAACATAAATAAGATGCTTGTTCATTAGAAGCAATATTATTATTCTTTAATGAGTGTCATAAATTTCTCTAAAGGCACTTCTTACTTGTCAGCACTTGTCCATTTTTGATACACTTTTTAGGAAGTTTTTATATGTTCTCTTTGCTGTTCATTTATTTTACTGGATCGCGTATTTGAGTGAATTGACCATTCACCGAAGTCAAATGTACCTATTCCCGAACATTTTCTTGCAAACAGGTACTAGTTTATTATAAATCTTTAAATTATCTTTTAGAGACATTCCACATCTAGAGTCAGTGTTATTTTTGTCGTCATGCTACTGGGCATCTTTTGACAAGATTATTTTCATCACTTTATATTGCTCTTACTTTTTTCTCTAATCCAGTCCTTTTACCTTTGACCCTTTTACAACCATAATATTCTTTACCTATTTGTCTAGCATTTTTCTTTTTGTTCTTTAACCAGTTGTCCTCATTTCCTTGTCCTTCTATCTTCTATTCCTTGTAACCAAGCCAGAAGTTTCATTTAATCTGTAGTTCATATCTTCAGAACTACTTGATTCATCATTTGCATAATCTGAGGCTTCAGGATGATATAACGTTGACGAATCACTATCACAATTATCTGAACAGTTATCATAACTATTAATAATATTTTCGACAAACAAACCTGTTTCATCGTCTAAAATAAGTTTGTTACCATGCCTAACGTTTATCGTAAATAAAAGTGTTGGCAGAATAAAGGCGGGAAACTTATTATCAGTAATTACGAGTTTGAAGCAGAAACTGAATGCAAGCAGTGCAGTTATGAGGTTGACATGATAGATTTTATACCGTTAAAGGCTAATAATAGCAGTTACAAGTTATTTCCAGGCACGCAGATTATCGTTTACAACAATATTATCAACTCAACGACAAAATGAAAAAAGTGTACATACGAGGTTGACGCAGAAACGGGACATGTCATATTTTAGTTCCAATTTATCCTTAAAAACTAGTTTTCAATGGTACTTTATTGGGATTGTTTTAATTAAAAACTTTAAACCTTTTTTGCTTTTGTTGTAGTCCAACGGCTGTTTCTTTTGACTTTTTTATGATTATTCAACTCTTTAGATATATCTAGTGCCTTTTCCCAGGTACTCTTTAACACTCAGATCAAGCAGTAGATAAATTGTAAAAAATTAAAGGATGCACAAACTAGTAATGTAGCAAAAGTCAATTCTTGGATATTTGCAAATGCTAACATTCGCAAATGGGTGTCAGATTAAATGAACCAGAAGATTCTGAAACTCACAAAAGTATATCTTGAAAGCAACAATGAATTTACTGTGGATACAAGTAACAGAGAAGATGGCATGCCTCCTCTTACTTTTCAAAGCCCAGTCAATATTTTAATAACTGTCACATAATATTTAGCAAAAAAATGTGTCACAAATGATGTTGACTTTTTTAACATGATGGAACACTAAAGTACAGTCTTGTTTTTCCTATAGTATGGCATTATTTAATTACGCCATCAAGTGATCAGAGTGAGCGCTCCTTATTGGCACTAGAATTCTTTATACTAGAATTTATTTATAGAATGGAATAGATTTAATAGGAAATAAACAATACTTCTTAAAACTTCTTAAAAACAATAATAGCAGCTAAGAAAATAGTATTTTGGGAGTAGGCTTTATCATAAATCAAAGATTTATTGACAAATTATTTAAGAGTCTTTATTGGATTTTAAGGACCATATAATGTAGTCTAGCCTAATGGTAGATATAAGTAAAAAATATTGTATTTCAATTATCACTTTATTTACAATAAAAGTAAAATCTCCATCTATAATATACTCAATACAAAATGGTAGATATCAGTAAAAAAAGAATGTATTTCAAATATTACTTTATTTACAACAAAAGTAAAATGACTTAACTCCATCTATAATGAGCATATGCCTTGTTAGCTTCACACTGTCGATGTAGATCTTGCTTCTTCTTAATAACCTTACCTGTATTATTAGAAGCATCTATTAGTTCTCTTGCTAACTGTAAGTGAAACCTCACATTGCCGTCTTTTTCCTTTCCTGCCTGTATCAGCCAATTCATTGATAGGAACTGTGCCCTTTTATCTGTGATGGGAACAGGAACCTACAAAAAAGAATTTTTAATCTACAGTCACAAAGTGAATGAAAAATGTCTAAAATTTAACATTCTATTGATGTTAAAACCCTAGACGCATTTCTATAATATCTACTGTGCAACTACTCCAATGACATTGAGAGGAATTAGTTTATATATAACTATAGTTTATCAATCAAAACTTTTACTTTCATATATTCTTATTTACAGCATATTTTATCAAAATTTAAGGTTATACCTGATATCTAACACCTCCTCTTTTTATTGACATAAGTTGAAGCAAGGGTTTGCAGTTTTCCACAGCTTTGTGAAATATATCTTTTGGATTCAAGTTAATAAGGTTTTTTTCCTCTTCAGATTGACATTTGTGGTACTTTTCTAGTTGCAGTCGTTTTATATTTTCAAAACATTGTTGCACTAAGCCTCTTGCTAAAACTTTATTTCCTTGTCTCATACAATAATTTACCATTAAGCTAAAAGTCAAAATCGCTTGTATAAATATTAAAAAGTAATAAAACACAATGAATACGCACTTAACCAGTGGATCGTATGACAGGGAACAAGTTTGATCATTAAGAGCAGCCCGTGTTGGTAAATGCGCTATTTTCTGGACTTCTCCACTTTTTATTAAATCATTCTGGGATTCCTTAATATAGACAGGTTTAATATAATAACTAGGATATTGAGACATGCCATTCTGTTGGATAGCATTGCTAAAACAAAACCGCTATAAAACTAGCTAAACAATAATATAATAAGAATACCTCAGTACTTTTAAATTAGTTCTAAATAATTGATTCCTGGTTAAACTAAACATTTTCTAAGTAAGGTTATATTCCCGAGAGGAAAATATTTTTCATATTTGACATTTGACATGTGTTTGAATCAGAGATATGTAAGAGAGTTTACATATCTCTGGTTTGAATACATCAAAGTCAATGACCGACTCCATTTCCAGATCAGAACATTACCAGAAATATAAATACCAGCCATATTCTTCCAAAAACCAAACCAAAAATTTTATATTAAAATTAAAAAGAAAATTGTAAAAAGTAATTGCAATGCCAGATATTTTGGTAAAAATTGTTTATGTACAACGCCAGACAGGAGGAAAAATTTCAGTTAAACCATACTGAAATAAAGAAGATCTTGCCCAATTGTCTAATTTTTCTTTGTATTGGCAATGTAATTTGATTTTTTTTTTACCTACGCCCTATCATATTTTATTTTTTAGTTATTACTAGGTTTATTTGTAACTAAATTCACATGACGTTAAACGGTTATCATAGACAAAGCCTCTGATTCTATAAGATGATTCTTATATATAGAAGTATATTATAAACTTAAGTATTTAAAAAATTAAGTGTTTTTAATATATTGTATGTTTTTGGTAAAATAAATTTTACAAGTAATATTTAACTAGTAAAGAATTAATAATTTTAATTTAAATACATGAATTGTTAATTTATCTAGATTTTACATCCTTTTATAAACAAATGTAGACTGTTCATGAATATTCGGATGTAGACATAGAATACTATCTACATCCAATGACGTATAATATATAGACTCGGTGAACGCTTTAAAAAGTGTCCAAAACATGAATACCTTTGTTATTGTTTATTGTTTTGATACGAAGATGCACGAAGTTCATGATTTCTTAACGAAGCATCACGAAGTTGATCTTGTGTTTGAAAACATCATGGACGTATGAAAACATTTTCTCCATTGTGAGTGACAAGCAAATTTTATTTTAAATTGTTGAAGTCATTTACTTACTATTTTAGTAAAATGCCATACTATTTTATCAAAATAATTATTTCTCTTATAGACGGGAACAAATAGAAATCATAAATATTTAATTTTAATTAAAAAAATAATTATTGTTATTAACATATAAATGAGCACGTCGCTGTTATGATAAACATACCATCAACCTTGAGCCGAGATCTTTCGGACACTCGATTCTATAGCGAGAATAGGGGACTGCGTAGTCTATATATTATACGTCATTGTCAACATCTATAATCTATATTCTTTGCTTCATCCTTCAATCCGTGACTGATCACTGACAAGTGACAAATTAATTTAATTCTGGAATTAAATAAACAGGAATAAGTTTATTTTTATATGTTGTGGTTTTGTTAATCATTTTTATGTGGGTAGAATTTTAACATTATTATAACAAATGGAAGCCTCAACAGCTGCTGATGCTGAAGATGACGAAATAATTAAAGAGGTAAAATTTATATCTCTTACATATTGTTAAGTTTTTGGTTATGTTGATTCTGTCATATTTTTGTACATGGTTAGTTAAATATTTTTTATCTTATAAAATAGTGATGTGAACAACCAATTAACTTATTGGTGATTGAATTTATAACATATAAAAATTATATCTCCAAGTTGTATACTTGCAAGGATACAGTGTTACTCCAGTGTCATACATGCTTTCAATAATAGATTGATAGAAGCTAGAATACAATATTTTTTTATGATTCCTTTATACATTTGCTGTATTCGACTTTTTTAGCTCTCTTTCAAATATTTGTGTTAATATTTTTTCAAATAGTAAGCTATAATTTGCTATATTATGGCTTGACATATTTGAATTTTATATTAATTTAAAGAACATATTGAGATTATGGAAATACTGCAATAATGCCTATAGTTGGGACAACTCAATTATATAAAATGTAATTTTGTCAAGAATTCTTGTAAATTTCTAAAGTTTTTTGATTACAGATACCCATAATTCATTCTAAGAGACTTGAGGACAACTTATATCTATTTCAATACCCATTAAACCATAGCGTAACTACTAATCAACACAAAATCAAATCATGCTTTTTCAAACCCAAAAACCAAGAAGTCAAACTTGAACTAGGTATTGATACCCATTCTCCGAATTTTGACACAGGAAGAGCTGAGATAATAGCACATGAGGTAGATAAGGACTCAGACAAAACCAAAAAGAATCCTAAATATTTTGAGAATGAGGTTGTTGACAAGGTTTTTCTTCAATCATCTAAGACTGTTCAAGATGCCAACAGGTATGCAGTGGCTGTGTATAATGGCAAAGAAGTCCATCTTACCTCTCTAAGTGGTAAGTTGATAAACAAAACAGTATTTCTCCTCAGTTTTTATATTAAATTTATATATCCATTTTAGGAGTATTTCAATTCAGGCCGGTTTTCCCTTATATGGAAAAGGGCTTAAAGAGGAAGAAGGAAACAGATGGGAATGAGTCTGATGAAGAACAAGCTGGCCCAAGTTCTGCCCAACAAGTAACAGTAAAGTTCAAATCTAGTGATGAAAGGTGGAAAAAGATGGATGAAACTAGCTATCATGCTTTGCAGTCTAAAAAAGCTGAAGAACCTTGGACTGAGTGTGAATGGCATGAAGCAGATAGCACTTTTAGTTGTGTAAGTTTGTGATTAATGTTTATTTTAGAAAAATATATGAATCCCTAAATATAGATCATTTTTAACAAAGATTTTGTTGTTGTGTTGTCCTTTTAGATGATTTGAGTCTTTTATTAGGTATTTTATTTATTTTAGAGATATGGTTAGTTTTTTATTACAAATGTGAGTATTCTTTAGGTGGAGAGACTCAAATTGATGTCAGACAATACAGAAGACATCAGCCAAGCTACTACTTTAGGAGATTCAGAATATATAAGGCTGCTGATTCCAGAAGACCAGGAACAGACACCTCTAGAACCAGTACTGCCTTCTCACCTACTTTCTTTGAATGCCTTGAGGGCTTTACCCATTCAAGAGAGATGTAGGGTGTTATTAAAAGATGGTATGTGAGAAGAATTTTTTGTTTCTATAAAATTACTAATAGTGGCTATCATTTATTGTTTTTTTCTTTAGTTTGTGTGACATAGAGTAAATTTCTTCAAATTGCACAGACACTGAAACATCTTCCTATCAAATCCTAAGCTTGTCTCTTTCATTCATTCAGTTATATTATTTCCTTTACTGTTCATGTTATTACTACAATGATTTATGTAACCATGATTTATTTTTTAGCCCAAATAATAAGATTCCAGCAGCTTTTGATGCTTTTAACAGGGGGAGAAAAGACAGCAACAGATTCATTACTGAAAGTTCTTCCGGTTGTAGCAGTTTTAGTCAGAGGCAACTGGGTAGTTAAGTCTGATGTTTTGTATCCTGCTAATACGTTTTCTGCCACTAGTGGAGTTCCAGCAGAATTGATGTGCAGAGCCAGAGATTATATTGTAAGTATTTATTTGGCAGTTTTGATATCTGTACCTAGGAGAGAAAAGGCACTATGTAAATTTTTTTTTTTTGGATCTCAGTACTATCTTACTAAACCCTTTGTTCTCTACATGGTGGTATAGAGCACTTTGCCAAATTCCACATATTAACAAAGATAGGCTGTGGTAAAGAGCATTAAATCACATTCTTGGTTGAAGGTAAAAGGCATGATCTGCACATAATGCTATTATAACCTTAAAAATATAGGTTGAAGGGAAAAAGCATCATGTGTGATTAAATCTAGTATTGACAGTTGGAAGTTTTGTGTTTTTAGTTTTTATGTACTTTGATTATTTCTCTTCAAGTTTTATGTTATAATTTATAATTATTATACATCTTTTGTGGTAATAACTATAGTGATTACAAATGAAAAAGAAAATGAATGCTAAGAACTCTCATGGCCAAATGCTATGCAACTTGGGACTAAATTTACAAGTTAATGAGACTGAAAAAGGTAAGACATTTTTAGGGTTATGCTACAATTCTGGAAGTATTTTTCTAAGGCAGAATATGTTGTTTTACTTACAGTAAATGGCATTTCAAGTATTTTAAAGAAAATTTAAACATAAGTTTAGTACAATCAAATATAGTATCAGGTATGAATGAAGGCTGTTAAACACATACTTATCAAAATAAGTTATCCCTAGAGTATACTAAAAGCACAGTTAAAATTGTTGTTGTGTACTCCATTCATAGCATTTTATGTAGGCTACTTTATGAATGATGTTAATTAAGCATAAGTATTAGTAAACATATACATGTAAACAACATTTTCCAGCCTATTTTGATATTTTAAATTTGCTGAAGTTTTAAATTCGTTTACCAGACAACTAACTAGCCTTTTTAATGCCTTGAAAATATATAGGGTTGATACTTTTTTTTCTTCTAGGTGCACATGCAGATGCAGAATCCATTCCGAGTCTTAGTGAAGCATATGACTCGGATGCTGATAAAGAGTATATTCCACATGAAAATGAATATTCTAACTCTGATGTTGAGCATGAGGCGAACAAATTAACAAAAGTCAAGGTAGTCAAAAACCAATTGGCTTCAAACAACAAAATGGAACTATACTCGACATAGAACTTCTTCAGTGTAACTTATACTTAATTAGCGACAGCAGAGATAATAATGACAAATGACCCAATATTGACATTAAATTGTAACAAATAAATCCTTACTAAAACAATCTGGGAGAAAAAAGGTAAATCATGTAGATGAATGGCAATGTAACATTAAAAAAAGAAAGTGTGCTGCCGGGATGGAGTACACAAACAAAAAAGGCAAGGTTGTTCCAGCCAAAAACAATAAAGCTGGCATATCATTGTAGGATAAAATGCTATGAAAAAATTAAAGGGAATGACAGAATGTGCTTTTTTTTGGATTATCCATAAATACCCTCAGATCAAGGACATTATTCAAAAAATTGTATTAAAAAGCCATACACACATGGAAGCAAACACCATTCATGCTCTGATAGAGAAAAAACCAAAAAAGGGCTGCAAATATGAGCATACTTACCCCCTGAGATTAACAACAGCAGGTTCGCAGCACATCAAACTACTATTTTGTGTATAACATGGAATTAGAGGATTT